GTAGTGTGTGCCAGCTTATCGGTGTGTGTGCTGGAAGGGTCAATAGTGAAGATGTATTTGATAAGGATCACTGCTGCTATTTGGAAGTGTTGCTGACATTTTCATTATAGTTTAACTCACACAAACCTCTTGCTGGATCACAGACTGTCTTATTACAGACAGATTTGATTATACAGCTCATATCTGCCTTACTCACCAACTCTCCTGGCATACAGCAAGTCCAGTTTTTGTAAATGTGTAGCCTAGTGCCAAGAAATTTATGGAGTGTAGTGACTGTACATAATTCAGTTATAGACACTGTTGATTTTTTTAAAGGAACCTTCTGATGCTCATATCATGCCTGATTCCTGATAAAACATTCATTACCTCATAAAAATTCCTTACGTGGCTCAACTAAAACAAATCTTATAAAGGGCATAGATAAATAAAGGTAAGCCTGGAAGCTTAAAATGTAATCTAACGCAGCACATTATGTAATACCATGCTACGTGAGTTGGATTGAATAAAAATAGGTCACATGTGCTTGTTAGGAAAGTTTATAAAAGAACGTTTAATATAAACTTTAAATACTTAGTATTTAAACTATATCTAAAACAGTTCAAACATTAAATGATTTAGCACTCACACCTGTGGGAAATGTTGTTTACTGTTCAATGATGCACTTAAAGTATGTCTACTTACAGTAATTGAATATGCTAATTTAAACACCAGATCCTGTAAAAAACAGCATTGCTATAGTTAAAGGTAAAACATTCACCTGTTTTTAAGCAAAATGTTGACAACAGTGTATAGTTTATATATACATTTATGGCTCAACATTTCAGTAAATTGGCTTAATATTAATTTCAATTGACTGAGACACCTTATGAAGAGCAAATGACCATAATAATGTTGACAACAGTAAATGAAAGCGGCAGTTTATTTTATCATCCCCCAGAAAAGGCTTTCCTCATTAAAATCACTGGGTGAATTACTGTATGGAGGGAGACATGTTTTGCACGCAGCACTTTAATGCTAACCGATATTCACAAGTAAAACATGATCATGTTAATAGCTTTTATCAAGGGATTGACTTTCTTAGATCATACTGTTATCACCCTTTGTTAACTATTATGTGTAGTTAATCTAGGAAAATGGTGCTTTAATGAGTCCCACATGAAATACAGGGTTTCAAACGTTTGTTTTTAATAGTCACATTAGTCTTTTTCTTGTTGAAACGTCAGGGCTGCTGTCCCACTTTTCTCATCTAGGATAGCTATTATATTTCAGTGAGAGCATTACATCTTATGTTTTACCTCAGGGAATTTTTCAAGTTGTTTGCTCTTGCTAAAGCACTGGATTGTTGAGTGCGTTTCTGTTTTAATCATGGATATCCTGCAAATAAGGAGTTCTATCCAGAAATGAGTCCGGGTACATAATGCTTACATTTGTCTTCAAGAACATATCAATTGCATGTTCATCATGAAAATATGAAAAGTTATCAATTGCTTTTAATTTAGCCAGTAATTAAAATGTACTTTATTTTGATTAAATGGATTATCAAAGAGATTAATAATTGCAGTAGACATCTGTAGAAAGACTGGGGTTAGTTTGAGAGAAGTAAACTATTTTAATCTTGAAGAGTACAGTCAACTGCCAAGGAAAATAATGGACATTTGTCAGTGGAGGATTTTAAGGTACTGTAGAATTAATGATTACATTAGGTAAAATGTTGTATACAGTAAATGTATTTGAATTTGGGATCATATTCATCTTCTCTAACCGTCTTTTGACTTCAGTTAGCATGTTACAAAAGGACAAGCAATTTAAATGTTTACCAGAATGTTACCTTGTAAAGAATTTAATTGTATTCAATATATACAGTCGGTAAGTTTTTTTTATCAATTAAGGATATGTTTTGATACTAGGATATGTATTCCACAATACGTATTTACATATTCTTCTCAATAAGATGATATGACATTCCGATTAAAAGGACACCTGTTTTTGTAAAGACTTAGTATTTTACCAACAATCCTAATTTCTAAATCCTGGCGAACATAATACAAACATTCTATTTCCTTTCAAGGAATTGCGTTATCTGTGATTTTGGGCACTTCTTTTTCTTATTTGAACCAATAACCTTTGTGAAATGTATTATGATTGTGTAAAACAATATTGTAACGATTTCTCTGCTAATTGACAGCCCAGGCCTTAATCTCCATATATCCATTCTGCTGTAGCATTGGCAGTCCTTCAAAGCAATGGGAATAGTCTTCTTTCCATTCTGTAGTGCCATATATTAACTGAAGGACTTTTATGCACGGTAATAGCAATATGGGATTATTCCAGCAAAGGTCATTATCATTTCATTTTGCCTTTGAAGGGCAGCATAATGCTCCTGTCCCCCCACAACCCCCTTAACAATTTCCCTTTCCACCTGTTGCATCCTGTAGCTCATGTAGATTAGTTTTAATAAGGAATAACAATGCTGTGGGAAACCATTACTCTTTCAGCACTGCCAATTTGCTATTCAAAGAAGGTAATTTCACATTGTCATCTACTCTGGAGCTTGAATTCCGTGTGATTATCTGCCTGGCTCACGCCTGGCTGCTGGAATTTGTGTCCTTCTGCAGCGTGCTTAAGCAGGGTTAAACATTCACATTTTCCAACTTATTAATTGAGTATTTGAGTAAGAGGCTTGCTCATAAGTGCAAGGGGTTCTTATCTAATCAGAAGAGAACATTTCTTAGTCTGATGTAGTTGCCTTAATTAGAACTTCCAGCACGCTGTGAACATTGCTAGGCCGCACACAGTACATTCAGATGGGGCTATTTTAATAGACTAATGCAGCTCTCACTGGCAATCAGCAGTCTGGGGAACAGCATGACTGGTTGTAGGGCCTTGGTGTCTCTCTGGGCACAGTGCTGGAGTTTGCTCTCTTGTCTTCAGACATGGCATCTCCTGCTGCTCTTATGGAAGTCTTTATAGACTAGGGTAGGCAAGCTGGCTCTGGGGGTGGGGTCATTTCTCACTACAGTTACAGCCATCTGGAAGATTTTTCTAGCGGACTGGTCCGAGTCCAGGAGTAGAGCCCTGCCAAACGCTGTTACAGATGGTGCCCCGTTTGTTACGGAGGGCTGTATTTGTTGACGCTCAGCCTGACAGATTTGCAATTGGCCATTGTGTTTAAATAATGACCTCTCCCAGCTTCAGAGCCATTGCAAATAAGCATATGGCCATTCAGTGATAACATTTGGCTGGGAAATTTCCATCAGAAGCACTGTAACACGTCCATGGCCGTTGGACCGTACATAGTATACACATACAGTATTATTTAAATGGTTTGACTAGGGAGCTGCATACATTGGCTGTCAAGGATCATGTAAAGGTTAATTCCTTGCTGAAAAGTAAAAAGAAGAAAAGACAGTGTTTCGGCAGTTGAGCTTCATTCAGGTGGGCGACGATAAAGGTAATAGACTGAAGAAGGTTTAACAGCCAGAATTTTGTATTTCTTCTTTTTGCTTTTCAGCATTGAATTAACTTTTATTTAAGTGCAGTACAGTTCCTGTACTGTTCATAGTGTGTATAAGGTAATTACACCTGCTTCATGTATACACACAAGTGTTCCTGCAACTTGCATATTTAACACTCGGGTTGCACTAATTATGTTTCATAATGTTGACTCAACATGATAAAAAACTCACAGAGCTTGAGATCTTAAGATCTTTGAGAGCTTAAGTAAATGGTACGGACAATGAATATTCATAACACATATTTTCACACATGTTTTAGGAACAGAATAAGGAGTTAAATACAGGAAAATATTATCCAGTTTAATTCTTTTCACTAATTTGAAAAAAAAAAGAATGTGATTTTAAGAACTCATTACTTAAAGATTTAGGAACTGTACAAAATATATATTGTCCTGTCACATCTGAAGCAAAACAAAATTAAAGATTGTGTTGAGGTGCAGTAAATTATTGACAGTCAAGTTTCACATGAATGGATTTCAATACCTTCAAGTGCCAAATGCGCAACTTACCGAAATGCTTTAGTAGTTTTAGGGGATTGTTAAAAATAGATATTTGATGCCTGTTTTATCTGTTAAAATCCCTAGTGGCATATATATATATATAAACAAAATTCTTTAAGGATATTAATGAAGTCTAAATCTTTTCTCATTTGTAACCTTTCTTGTATGCTTGCTTTTACATTTGTCATACCCAGAGGCACTGGAACTTCACAGACTTGGTGCTAAATCAAGCCTCTCTGATTCTGACTGTGCTATAAAATACGTTTCAAAGAGGTTCAAAAATACCATGTTCAGCATAATGATATTGGATCTGGGTATTGGCATTTATGATGGTTTATGTATTTTGGATTTTGGATCTTTTTGGGAGTTGGAATATAACCCATTTGTTTCAGAAGGACTGTTAGAATAGGTTTACTGCTTTTCAAAGATGTTATATTTGAACATGTTATTTAATATTATACCATAGGATTTGTACATGCTTGAGCTATCCATATGCAGTACTATCCAATTTGTATCGTAGCGATTCCAGCTTAATTCCAGCTTAATTACCTTGTGTTTCTCCATGCTCTTTGAATTATTAATTAGCTTCCAGTTAGCAACGTAGAATTCTGCAACACTCTGCAACAATCTCACATTGAGTTGTTTTCCTATCAGCCTTGTATTTTTGGAATATTAACATTGAGTTTGGGTTTTGCTGTGCTAGATGATTGCTATTATCCTTCCCAGACTTGTGAATCCCATAACTACAAAGCCACTCATGGTTGTACTAGGTGAGAGAAATTGTCCTAGGCTGTAGGGATAATTTTTCCCTTCAAGCTGTCAGATGGCTTCCAGATATGAATCCATCCTTGTCACAGAACCATTTTGCAGTAGGATATTTCCTCAAATCTTCCAAATTTAGGACCCTTAGCTTGCCTCCAGTTCTTTTTCTGTTTAAATGTTCCTCATGCTAAGTTGTACCCTTTTTCCCCCTTCGTTTTAATAGGAAAAAGGGAAGAGCGGCCATCGATCATTTTGTAGAAGTGCAGAACGGGGTGTTTTGATGGAGAGGTAAGTGCTGGAGAACACCAAAGTGTAGCAGAGAGTACATACTGTATGTCTGTAAAGTTCACACAGTCTACAGGTACTAAGTTGCACCCTCGACCATGCAAACAAGGAAGCCCAAGGTGCTGCTGTAGGTGATATTTCTGCAGACCAGTAGGTGGCACCTCTCTCTCTGGACTAGAAATGACAAACCAGTGCCTTGATATGATAAACATGGGGCATTGGGCTATAGAAGGTGCGGTTCTTCGGATAAGATGTTAAACAATGAAACTGAGCAGCTGACCTCTTGGTCATTCAAGTCCCTGTGGAATATTTTTGAAGAAAAAATAATGGGTTTTCTTTGACTGTATATGAGCAGCACTTGGAAATCCTTTGGAATGAAAAGTGCTATATAAATATAAGAATTTACAATTGTTACTAAAAACAAAATTCACATAAACCATAGTCAACACAAATGCTAAGTACTATGTGCACAACAATTAATAAAAGACATTTTACCTTTATAGAAACCAGAAATATATGTTTTTATCACAGTCTTTTCACTACAGGCATATAGGAAGTGCTTTGATTATGTTACTGTTTTGCAACAAATTGCATTGGATTGACAGCAAATTGTCTTGATGCAGTATGTCTCATGAGGAATAGTTAAATTAAAAATGATTCGTGTCATGAACATAAAACTTTTAAGCTAAGAGATAATGAGGACATAAGGCAAATATGGGTATATATGGGTATATTTTCTTTTTTTTTCAGAATTATGTTTCCATATCTTTAACAAATACTGTACATGTGGGACAGAATAATCCCCAGTAGTTTGGTTCTTTAGTTTTAACTGCATAATTCTTTTCTTATTTATATTTTAAAGAAACCCTGGTTTTCGGATTTGTGAAGACATCAGTGTAAACAAAAATCAGTTTTCGGAAACTAAGGTTATCGTGTAAGTACTTTTAAAATTATATTTAGTGCATATTTGCATATTTCAGTTAGCAGGGGCTTGAGTAGAGTAGAATTAGATGTTGTTCAAGTTGTACTTTAGAATTTTTCTTTATCCCAATCAAGCTGCCAGCAAGATTTCAGCTTTGAATTAACATATCAATTGGAACATTGCAATTATTGCTTATACTAATCCCATGTTTTATTTAAAAATGTATTTTATTTTAAATTGATTTAAAATTGAAATTGATTACTTATGGTTTTTATTTACAAAATACATTGCAACACCTTTCTCTGAATGTCTTGACTATGGTTATCCTGTTAAAGCCATTATTAGTTTGATTGAAGGGTGTCTGCAAAGGCAAAGATGTTTTCATCATTTGCAATCACCATTTTTATTGCTTTTGTGTGTTTAAAGAATGAACTACTACTACTGACATAAGGACTCTCCTCAAATAAAGATTGTATTCAATTTTCCTGTGCCTGAAAAACTTTGCTGCCCTTTTCCTGTCATTTGTAGTTTGTTGTAATCTGCATATACTCCAGTTGGTTTGGGTGCCAACCTGACCTTAGCTCTAGACTGTAAAAATGGCTGTCAAACATGCTGATGCTCATTTAAACTCTGCAAGTTCTATATTGTCCAGAGCTATCACACTAATATGGACAAAATGGACCAAACAATGCCCTTGCTGCAAAGCAATTTGGATTTTTCATTCTGACTATCCTGCATCACCTCCTACAGTATGTCTGTTTATATTCTAAAAAAATCTTTAGTAGAATTCGTGTCTAATTAGAGTACACCTGTATTGTTTTTTCCTCTAACCCTCAGAATTCAACGAGCATGGCGCGCCACTCTTCACCGAAAGCCGAACCTGCACACTGCGTGCAGGAATTTGTCTCCACAGAGCCAGCCACCTCCTCTCAGACAGCTTCAGGTGTCCATGAGGGTAAACGGATTTGGTAGCGATGTGTCTCTGGTAAGTGTCTACATTTTGCACAAGTGTAAGGCCAAAGGAGAAAAACAGTAGAAGGAATAGGTGTCCATAGATATTTTAGAACCAAGTTTATTATCTCAGAATTAAGCATTCTCAAGAGGTTTGCGGGCTTAACACAGAAGTATTGTGTTCCCAACAGAGTTTTGACCTTGTTAATTCATTCCAAGAAGTTTGTGCCTATTGTAGTTTTTCAGAAGTGCACACAGTATATTCAATTAATGATAGCTTAGAGGTGTGTCAGGGGAAAAAAAGCCATGTTGACAGGCACTGTATATCATGGATGGGGACTGCTTCCTGAGCTGTGCATTTGGCAGTGCCTTCAATATCGCTGCCCTTGCTGTGTCTTTGCATTGATTTGTCTTCTGGTTGGTACGGCTCTGAACGAGGGGTGGAAGAACAATAATAGTGACATTAATCTTTTAGGTAATGATTTCAGCTTCCAGCAGATAAGCAGCTTTAAATTATTGATACTTATGAGAGGATGAAAGTTGTATGTTATGCTTTGCACATTGTAAAAATAAATTTTTTGAAACTTCAAGAAAAAAAACATCATTTTAGAGGACTGAAAGTGGTGATCTTTAGATGGCGGCATAAACTGTCCTTTCATTTATGTTCAGTAGAAACAGGAAACCCTGATTACTTGGAAAAGGGTAATTGATAATTCTTACATTCTTTAAGTAACTGTATTCTGTTTCTCTCCACTTACTGGGAGTATGCTTACTGTATAGCAATAGGGTCTCCTTGTATATAAGGCTGTACGTAAGGCAGAAGTGAGTTTAAATTAACAGGCCTGAACACAGAATTTGTTATTTCTCAATAGTTTATATTACAAACAGCTAATTTAGTGGTGTTCATTGCTTTAATTAATACACAAAGTCACTGATATATAAATGATAATTCTGTCCTGGAGAACTACTGCATACTGTACATAGCACTGAAACAATCTGTAATATTTATCCATGCATCAGCGGATTTTTGAATGCAATCAGCTTGAGCTACAATACTGTACCTACATATTGAATTATCTTAGTTATAAAAAGGAACGATGAGAAAGTCTAATAAAGGCTCATCGTGGGAGATAACATTTAATGACGTGTGACTAAATGTCAAAGGAAGTTCTCTGGTGTAGCTGCCACTGAAAATGCAAGAGACTTCACAAAATCATTAACAAAAGGTTTCTGTGGTTGACTGTTAAAAGCTGTTTTTTTTTCTCCTCATAATAGCATACAGTTTGTATTGCGTTAAGCAGTAGCTGTGCCAATTTATTTATAGTCATTAACGAGGAAGGTAAAGCAGAAATTCGAGCTGTTTACATGTCATTGTGTATCTTTGAGCATATGTTCCTAATGTGTATATCAATGTTCATTAAAGTCACAGGCTTGAGGTTTAAATTGATATAAAATCCTGTACATTCTGTTGGGAAATAAGGGTTTTCTAGCTATTTTTAAAATACTTTTAAATATTAATAAGTAATCATATATTTGGGGGAGTTTAGCTACTTATGTGTGTCAGGCACATCGTGTTTATTCTTGCTTTGTTCATTTTTATTCTTTTCTCCCATGCTCTTATTGCGGGAATTGAAATATACCTTGGCAAGCAGGCAGTTGAAATTCTACTGCTGACGCAGGAAAACCATCCAGGAAACGTTGTTAGTTTTAATGTTATACAGCAGTCTATCAGAAGGAAGAGTGATTTAGCAGATTTTAAATGTAATTATATGCAGTGGGACGGTTTCATACATTTTAATGAAGCTCAGGAAGCCATTTCTTAATACACGGAAGCCCACTGTAGCCTTGTTGTTTTTTTTTTATCTGGTGGCCCTGTGTAATTGAATCTAAAGTAATATGCCTTGGGGCTATACATCAGCTCTACCAGTATTTCCATCATTTTACTGAGTTGCCTGACCTGCTCCTTTCATTTCTATGTGCTGTTTATTCCATTTCTTCCTATCGAACTAATCAACTTGCAGTTTACAACACTGTAAAACAACAATCGTTCATCTCATTCTGCTTGTATTCACTGCAATATTCATTACACCCTGACACCGGGTCGGGTTTTATATCTTCTCCACCTGACCCATCGGATCTCTTCTGGGGATTCTGAAGGACGAGCTTCCATCATAAAAGCGGGTGAGGATGAAGATCATGTATGAAGGCTTCAGGAGGTCAGGTGGACCTTGTCAGTCTAGTGGGAAAAAGTGGTAGAATGGATACATAAAACATGAACCGACAGAATGAAAAATCCCATTGCATAGCAGCTTGAAAATGTCAAGGTTTTATTTTACTTTCCTTTAATCGGAATATCGGAAAATTGTCTCACGAATGTTATTGCCTCAGGACTTGCTCATTTTTTTATTTTGAGTTGTGATTCTTGCCTGTTTACAGTGGAGCTTTTTTGTGCTAAGAACAGTTCAGTTTACCTATAGAACAGAGTGAACAACAAAGTTCAATTTTGAAACAAGACCTGAACCAAAGCAGACAACTGGACAAGGTGGCAAAAGGCTGTTTGGTAGATAGACTGGGTATGATTCGCTTCATAAATCCCAGTGCTAACACAACAAGAGACACTGTGTATTTCCAGTGTCACAGAACACATATTTTGTATTATACAGTGGAATGAAATGGATTGGAGAGGAGACAAAAGCTCTTTCAGAAACATGATCAGACACCAAAATTCAGATGGAGCTTTAAAAAGCACAAAAACACCAAAGTCTTTTCTATTTTTTCTGAGAGTGCAGAGAACCTGAACAATACAGGACTGAAGTGGAAATGGTGCATCAAATGTGTTACAAAATATAAAAATGGCCTAAGATAAATTAGTTTTGCAATGTATCTTACAATATAAAATTTGAGTCTAAAATGAACTTTTGCAACATGTACACGAGCAAACTGAGTCCCCTAAACATTAGGATGTGAAACAAAAAAAAACATACTCCAGCCTCCTTCCGCATAAACTTAGTAAAGCTGAGCCATGTAAATTTGATTAGCTAGCATACTGATGCATTGTTTCATACCAAGTGAACCAAACCAGGATTCCATGAATTAACTTAGCATGCACAATCCCTTAAACAGATTGTTTTTAATGTTGAGCTCATTATTTATACTGAAGTAGTTATATTATTATCGTGTTTGCATCTTTCTTGCGTGCATGCTGATGTTTAAATTGAGGCAAATTAGCAGAAAAGGGCAAATAAGCATTAGAGAGTGACATGTCTTAAAATAAAGTGCAGAACAGATTTCCACAAATTTCTTCCTTGGTGTTATCATTTGTCTAATCTTTTGCTCCTTGTAGTATATTGTTAGCTTATTTGTAATTTAGGGAAAGTTACTCTTTCAGCCTACAGTATATACTGTAAAAACAAAACTATTTGGTAATGCATTGTGATGTCTGTGTTACAGTGTTTTACTTGGAGTTGTTTATTAATGTTCTGCACACTCACCTTGGTAATACAATACTTTGCAACTGACAGCTGATGAAAAGTATGGGTGTAAATTTCCAATAAAGACGTGCATTCCCAACACTAGAGTCAGCCAGTGAGAAAAGCTTGACTATGAAGCCATTTGTTTTGTGTGATCTGTTTATAATGGGGCATTTCTGTGAGTGCCTTGTGTATTTCAATAAAGCAATAAAAAACAGAAAGTTGTTATGGAGGTCCAAATAATTCAAAACCAAGGTTGAGTGAGTGTCTCTTTGAGTTATGGCTGTGTAACAGCATATGTTATAGAATATTGGTAGTACTGTATCATTTGTTAGCACCAACAGTTCACCCACACCGAATGAATAGAAAGAAATTGAATTTTTGTAGTTTTTTTTACAGAAGAATGTTTGAGTAAGCATTCCTGGAGAATATATATATATATATGATTATTTATCCCAGCTCTCTTGTCTGAAGAAACTCCTGAGACAGTTACATTTATAACATGCCTTATAGATCTGTTCATATCATATGACTTGTTCTATTAACGTCAGTATATACAGTAAGCATTTAAGATTAATATATGCACAAAGTTGAAATTGTTGTGTAGAAGAAGGCATCAGCTTTCTTGTGTACTGGAAACCTTTCCATGGCAAAGTAAATCAGTACAGACGTGACAGACTGCATCTAAAAGAGATAAGCATCATTCAGCACAAGGATCCAGAACAAAACATTTAAACATAATTGGAAGGGTTGAGAAACCAAAGAAAATCCAAAAGGAAGAGCAAAGACAAAAAGAGAACTGAAGGGAAAAGCAAAAAAAGCAGCAGGTGATTGAGTTTTAGTACCTAAATGCCAGGAGTACTAGAAACAAATCACATTAGATACAAGCGGTGTTATTGGAATCACAGAAACAGGGCAGAGAGAAAACATTAAACTGTGTTTGTAACATTGATGGATAAAAACTGTTCATGAGAGGCAGGAAAGATATAAGACAGAGAGACGTGGTGCTATACAGTATCTCAAAGAGAGAATTCAGGCTCAGGAACTGAAGCTAGAGGAATCAAGAATCTCTGAATCTAAATGGGTCAGACTCATTAAAATATTCCAAATCTATAATGTTAGGAATATGTTGTAGACCACCAAATGCAGGTGCTGACTATAATTCAATACTATATAATGAAATTACAAATTTACAAGCAAATGAAGACTCAGTCATAATGGGAGACTTCATTTTTCCTAACATACAGTAGATTAGAAAAAGCTATAGGAATGTCTGCAACAGAAACACAAATGGTTGGCTTGGTTAATTACCCAGTTATTGGAGTGCCATCAGGAAAAATACTTGTATGGTTCTTGTCTTTTGAAACAATCAAGACAGTCCATGAATCGAGAGTGAGGTAAAAGTGAGAGAGGCAAAGAAAAAAGCCGGTAAAATAAATTTTACAGAACTGTGATCATAATGTGCTTCGATGTTTATAATGAATATAGACAAGTAACATTTAAAGCAAAAATGAAGAATTTCTGAAAAGCAGACTTTGAAGAAAGGAGGCAGATGTTAAGAGAA